TGATGAAACAAAGTATGTAGGAGTTGCACCTTACTTGGTTTAATTACCTCTAGATTTGGCAGCTTATGCTAACCAGTCCAAATCTGGATTGTCTACTAGAAGATTAAGAAGTATTAGTTTGTTGTTGGTCATTCAGTTTGACCTATCAGCACTAGTGGCAATATTAGTAAAAGACAGACTAGGTCCTTAAGGAGTCACTCTCCAGTTGGCCATTTGGCCCTAGATTTGTAGTGTTCAATCAGTGGTCAAAACCAAAGCATTTACTAGAGAGTGCATACTGACATCAAAGGCCCTTTCTATAGCATAGTATTGTGAGCAAAAAGGTGAGACGTGATAGGTAATATACAAAATAGCTAGTGATACTTACCCCAACTATAATACATACCAAAAAATTGAATCAATAGGTTAGGTGATTTAAAACTAGTGATAGGATTTTTACCTCTTAGACAGGTCTCTTCAAAAACTTCAAGAATGCAGAGGACATTGCTGTGCATAACAATAGATAGGTTAATATTTAGCTGTAGTTGTATATAGGAGGTTTTATGTACTAATTGTAATATTTATAAGTTAATATTCAATAAAACCCATATCTAATGCCATTTTACTATAAAAAAAATATATATATATTGATATTCAAATTTTATAAATCTAAAGATAGTGAATCATTTAAACTTGTTTATATTTATAGGTATCAAAAAGAGAATTAATTATAAAGATGTCAAAAATTAGAATTACTTAAATAGTATAGTTGCATACTGATAGATATTATTGATAAAAGTATATATATAGTTTCAAGATTTGATAAAACAAATGAATATTTAGTAAATAATTATATATTTTAATTTTAATCTACCAAATTAAATAAAATTGATTACTATTCAAATTAATTATAATATTTTATAATGATAAATAATATAAATTATTAAAAATCATAACTTATTTATCAAATAAAATATGATTTTTATCAATATTAATATAAATCAATTATAAATAATTTTTTTTTGTTATTAATTAATATAATACATTACTATCAATATATATCAATTAATTATAATTGATTACTAGTGATTATTAATTGACTATTGATAAATAATCATAAAAAATTTTCTGATATTACAAAAATTTAATAATTAATTTTAATAATCTAATTAATAATCCTAAGTAAGTATTCATAACTGCTCAATATTATTTCAATGTATAATAATTTTAATATTTATTTTTTTTATTATTTAAATAGTTTATATAAGAAAATTAATATTAGACTTATTAGCTTAGCAAGTTATATAAGAGATATTATCACTTTTTTTATATATAAATTTTAAACAAGTTCAATTTTACAATTATAAAAAAATAATATTTACTTTTTTAAAAAAATTGCAATATATAATTTATTTTATCTGGAAAACAACAAGTATAATAAAAATAATAAATTTATAATAATTTATACAAATAATAAAATAAAATTAATTCGTTTTTTTGATTTTTATAAGGCATACTATATATTAATTAAAAATATGTCAAATTTGTCTATAATAATAATAATTTTTTGAATTATACAATTGCTATATATTGTTTTAATATAAAAATAATTTATTATATAATTATTGTAAAGATAAATTTTAATAAGAAATTTTTATATAACAAAATATAATATATTGTTAAAAATAACAGATAAATTTTTATTTAATTTGAATTTATAATATTAATATAAATTAAATTAAATAATTGTTATTTTAATTAATAAGTAATATAGATATTATTTTAAACTTGTTACAAATTTAGCAAAAAAACTGATATAACAATTAAAAAATAATAAAAATATATATAAAAAAATTAGTATTTTAATTATTAATTTTTAATTAACTTAAATAATATTTATTTGCATAAAAAACAATATTAAAATCAATACAAAAAAACAAGCAAAAAAAATAATAAAAGTATATTAAAAGAAAATAATAACTATAAAATATCCATATAAATATAAATATAAACAATAATAAATAATTAATTAAATTTTTAAAACTTGAATTTTATAAAGTTACAGTATTTAATTTCTTTAATAAATTAAAAAATTAATTATTATTAAATATTATTATTAATTAAATATAAATTATATTAATTTAAACTTTAATTTTGATATTTTTAATTTGATATTAGTATTTCAAGTTTTTTTCAAAAAATTTTTTAATAATTATTAATATTAGTATTAATAAAATTTTTGATATCAGTTTTATAAAATACTGTATTAAATAATATTAATTAAAACTTTATCAACAACTTACTAATAACAAGTAATTAAACTAGTCTATGATATTTTTAATAATATTTTTTTTATGTTGACTTTAATAATTATATCAAAATATTAATTAAAACTTTAATACAATTATATTATACTATTTGAAAATTATAATATACTATTGTTAATATTTTAAAATAAAAAAAAGTTATTTATTAATAAAAATAAAAATAATTAAGCAATTTTTAGACTAAATTAGAATTTTTAAAAATATTATATTAATATTGTTTCAATATTATTTCAATATTAATTTGATACTCAAATTTATTATATATTTATATGAATAGGCTATATAGATCAGTATTATTTTAATATTAATTTAATATTTTTTAAAGTTTTTATTTTAAACATTTATAACTATTTTAAAAATATTATAAATTTAATTTATAATCACTTTAATTTTTTTTTCTAGAATTAAATAAATATTTATTATTTGATAAAATATATTATTTTTAAATATTATAAAATTAATTTAAAATAATTTTATAAAAAAATTTTATTTAAAATAAAGATATTAAATAATTAAATAATTATTGTTTTTTTAAAAAAGTTGTTATATTTTTTTTAATATTATATAAGTTTTTATTAAAAAAAAATTAACAAAATATTAAATATAAAAAAAAGTATTGAACTAGAATTAATAGTATTTATACAATTTAATATTAATAAATCTTGTTAAAGTTATTTAACATATACTGTATGTCTATATTATTTATATTATTTATATATTTTATTTAATTTGTATATTCTATATATTTAATTTAATTTAAAAAATGAGATAATTTATAATATTTATTTATTTTTAATTTAATATATAATATATACTGTAAATAAATAATGTGAGTTTTGTAAAATAAAACAAAAAATAGATTTTAATAGAATCGAGAAGTTATAGATACGATATGACTTTAAATAGTTTGATTAAAAGCTATCTGTTAAAAATCTATTTATTACATGTTTATAATTAAAAAAATAAAAAAAATTTTTATTGATTTTTGTAGAAAACCGGATCAAGTAAAATTATGTTTAATAAAATTTCTATTGCAAAAATAATAAATTTATTAATATTAATTCAGTAATAATAAATATTTGAATAAAGCTTATTTTAATAAATCAAAGATTAATTCAAACTTCATAAATTCTTGATATGATAACAATAATATAACTTTTAAAAAATTATATCGTAGCTTCATTTTATTAAACTTATTTAATATTTTAATAATTATATTTAAGGTTGGCAGTATGTAATTGAGATAATTTTCAAGTATTGTTGCTTATTATAAATATAATTTGATTTTTACTTTATGCATTTTTTATAATTTGATATTTTTATCAGTAAATAGTAATTATTATTTTTTGTATTTAATAGATAAATGTTGTATTGAGCACATGAATTTCTTGAAAGTTTATATTTATCAAAAACTGCGTATTCAAAAAGAATCATGGGTTTTATAATATAGAGAAGAGAATATAAATACTGGATAAAATCGATCATAATGAATATCTTAAGATTTCTGTAATTTTTTTGTTTCAATAAAATCCCAAATCCTAATTGTTTAAAGTTAACATATAGAAATTGAAAAGTTAGACCAAGTGAATTCATCAAGTAATTGACATTTATTTTAAAAATTTTTTATTTATGTCAAATTAAAAAATTATTATATCCAAGTTCAAATTAAAATTGCTATTCATACAATATTAACATCAAATCCAATATTATTGATAAATTCTGCCATTCAAGATTCTTTTTGGTTTGACGCTAGAGATCCAAGCATAATGAAACCTTTTTCGGTGATGGTGATAGTGGTAATATTTTTATCACACATTGTATAGTTAACTCGGGAAAATTAAAAGAAGAGTGCCAAAAGGAGACATTTTCTCCTTTTGGTAAGATTAGCTATACAGAATGTCTGATGAGATGCCAAAAGTTTCTTAGCTGCTTGGTATGCGGATAAATACACAAAGAGAGGGATATACTGTAGTTTTACGATTTTGATTACTACTGTATATAATTTTCATTGATAAGAATTCACACATTGTTGTCAAAAACGTATTATCTTAGATAATCAGCTTTTGTGACTTTGTCTACAGTATTTAGCCAATTAAGTCGAATCTGGATAACAATTTACGATATACATTTCGTTCAATGACGAGGTCTTTAAATTCTTACTGGAAACCATAAAATAAAAAAATTCTTGATCGAAATTAAATTCCCAGATCATGTTTGCGGTCTCATAAAGCTTGCTTTTCTATGTTACTTTTGAAAACATGAGTTACGTAAGACCTAATATAAATTTATGAAAAATGTTATCATTGATTAAAAATTATATTACGTATACAATAATAAGTTTTGGATTTAATTGTGAAATCATATGCAATTTTAATTAAAGAACTTCTCGTTCCTGTAAGAATGATGAGATACTAGATGGCGTATTGTTATCTAGATTTGTAGGGAATGAACCATTCATCGCTTCAATACCCGAGTCAGATCAATACTTACCGCCTGCTGGTCCGCTCGAACTTTGTCTATAGATTTCCATTCTTGTTCATTTCCATGCTCCAATGTTTAAAAAAAGTAACATCAGAAGTATATGAGATTCTTGTTACCTTGTGCTACTTAAGTGCTTCTCATTGACATATGCTGTGATCCTACGTTTGTGTCTAATAAATTGCGTACATGATCGAAGGAAAAAAAAATTTCAAAATGACAAAATCTAATCTTTGCTCGTTACTTTCAATAATAGCTATACTAATTGCACTTGCCGTGCAATTTGGAAATTCGGTTCGTCTCGAACCGTACCTTTTGCAAAAACCAAATAAAATAATTTATGAACTACTTTTCTATGCACCAGTTTTCGTATTCATCATTCTTTCGTTTGAACCGCCCAAAACAAGATTCCGTGTTTTTACTCTTTACTCTTTGATCGCAACCCTGATTATATTCCCAGTGTTTCACAGAGGACAGTATGAAGCCAACCTCAGTCTAATGAATAGCACTCTTGCCTGTCTTTTAGCGTTCAAGATGCTGCTTTGGTTAAAATATTCTTATCACAATAACTTGGGAAAAGATTCCGGTAAAAGATTTACACCGTTTCTTTGGACGCTACTTTACATGCGATCAGATGCACTGTTACATAATCAGCAAATATCACAACCATCTACTCCAACATTGGATCGAGTTCACTCTTACTTGGGTCGCCGAGCATGCGTGATGTTCGGAAAATACTTGATGTACGAGTTTCTCTTGGGAGTTCTCGTTGCTAATACTCCGCAGATTCCGGAGAGGTTATACATTCTACGTATCTTGGACTTTTTTAAAACTGGGCGCCCACCTGTCACTCCTTATTTATTGATTTACGATTATTTCAGTTGTATCTTGATATATATTTTTATTTCATTAATATCAGACATAATTCTGCTCACGCATGCGTTAATCCTTCGACATATCCTATTATGCGAAAAGTCCAACTCAAACAAATCCTCTACAAGTCCTCGAGTTTTTCAAATACTAACGCCTAAACAAACAGAGGTGATGAAAGAATGGTTGGTTCTGATGATATTTCACTCGAAACCACCGTTCAATAGACCATATCTCTCTAATAGTCCTCGAGATATGTGGACTAATCGTTGGCATTCGGTGTTTCTAGAGACCTTCAAAGAACTTGCTTATTACCCAACCAAGAATTTGACAGTAAATAAGTTTGGGCGAAAATTGGGAAATGCATTGGGAGTGATGTCAGTGTTTTTGGTGAGCGCGTTGTTTCACGAATATATTTGTTTTACCTCTTGGGGTAGTTCATACGGAGATCATATTGCATTCTTCATTTATCACGGAATAGTGATGGTTACATGGGAGAGCTTGGTGATGATTGTCGCAAAGACAAAGGGAGGGATGGATGAAGAAAAAAGTAAGGGAGGAGCGAGAAACGAGAATAAAGAGAATGGTTATGAAATCAAACGAAAGATAATAGATGTATTCAAGTGGGCAATATTTATGATTGTAATAATACCGGGACTTCCATTTTTTTGTGAACCATTCTCTCGCAATAATCAAATATTGGCTTGCGCCTCTTTAAGATCCGTCGTGAAGAATTTGATTCATAAAACATTCCATTTGCAAATGTAATGTCAATTTGAAAGTTATTACTGTAGATAGTATTAATTCACTGATAACCGATATTTTGTATCGAAATAAAAGAGATTAAGCTAGAGAATTTTTATTCATTTTGAACTCAAGATCTTTTCATGACAGGTAAAATGTAATCTCCTTAGCAGACGTCCCGAGTGTCACATATAGGTCAACTTATTATTATTAGCATATATACCATATATACAGTATATATATAATATTTTAAAAAATATTTTTTTGTATATATTAGTAACGGTTATTCCAACTTTTATACAAGATCAAATACATTTAAATTTTGTTTTAAAAATACAATGATGATGAATGCTTCGCGCAAGCACCATCATCCTCAAGTTCAACCTTCATGCCCAGTGCGTAAATTGTTTATAAACGCGGTTACTATGAACAGTATAAATTGATTTTATGATAAAATGAATCACTCCCTGTATATCCTTTGTTGGCTGAGAGATTCTTCAAGGATACCAAGAGATTGAGGTAATCCTCACACTCCCTCCACAATTTTATAGCCTTCTTTCCTCTCCATTCTCACCAAGTTTTATACTTGAATATGGAACAAAAAGAGGATTTGATGGTGACCTATTCCTTGTGTATGATGCCGGACGCGAAGGATCCTCATTCCTCGAAACAGGTCTACTAATATTTCCCTCGACATCAGAGTTGGAACTTGATCCAATCCTGGGGTACGCGTCAACACCTTCAATGTCTCCGATCGGATTTGGTAAGGATGACGGTGGTCGTTGACTTCCGGAAGATGACCCTTTTCTGGACTTGATAATATACAGCGTGCCGAAAACTAATCCACAAATTAATAATACTCCTCCTCCTATGGTTATTCCAAGTATTATCCCTGTTATTGCATGAATTTATTATAACAATCATTTAACAAAAAACTTTTTCCTTAAATGTACAAATGAGAATAATGGTTAACCCAAAGAACAAACATACATAACTAATAAATATTTGACGTACCAAAGTTCATGGGTAGGCTTGATCTTCCATTATCAAATCCTTTGACCCAAGTCCAAATAGTTATGTCAAATAAGTATATTTCTGAATTTGTGCTCGATTTATTGTTCGAGCCACTCGTGATATATCCTGTTTGACACCCTCAGAATCAGAGAAAGAAACGCGTAATTGCAAGAAACAACAATATACATACCAAAAGCTATAATCATATACTTCCCTATGGTTGTGGCAGAATGTAAGCTTAAAGGCGGTGGCACGTTCGATCCGACCGCCACATAAGTTTGTGGCACGGTCCAATTAAAGGGCACGAAGGATGTATTGAGAAATGCTAATTGTGGCAAAGAAACTGTATGACCATCACCGTTTATCCCTCCGTAAATTATGATGCCCCCATTTGATGCTATTGGTTTACGTTCCATTAAAGACGAGTAGATGGTAGATATACCGCCGAATAGCGTTTTTAACAGAAAAATAACGAGAGATTAGGCCGATCAAAAAGGAGAATTTAACCAAAGATTTACTATTAAAGGGATGAAGAAACTATACTTGTTACAGCAGTGTGAGAAAATCGGCTATCTATCATAGAACCTCCTGCATTCTTACAATAAATAATGTCATTAGATCGTTGATGACGTTAACATCGCAAAGGAAAGGAGGATGCCTACCATGATAATCCATTGACCCGAGTTAGTGTCATATATTGGTATCTATTAATAATAAATAGAGATCTTGAATATAAGAAATTCGTAGATTTTTCTTTGACCAATTCATTTACCTGAGTAATGTTGACAATGTTTAAAGATCCACTTTGGGAATTAAGTTCTCTTCCTCCGATGAACAAAATAATCCCACTTTTTAAAATAGTGGCTGTATAACTGTCTCGTGGTGATGGAATACCAATTGTCGTGACCAAATTCCATTTCTGCATTATTGTATCCAAAATATCTAAATTATTATTATCAATGTCGTTTGAGGGGTTCCCAGTAAGATTATCAGATCTCCCACCGAAATAATAGATTTTTCCCGAACGATCTGTAACAGCTTGGGCTTGCCTTCGTCTCGTTAGCGTTGAGCCGGAAATGCTGGGAGCATACCATGATTGAGTATTTGTATTGTACGTGTAAACAAGATTATTGTTTGATAGTAAACTTTTCGCTTGATCAAGCATTTCTCCACCTATTAGACATATTGATACACCATCACCGCTGATTGTTGCCGCTGCCCATGAACTTTTCACCGGAATGCTGTGGGTGTTTGTAAGGTCAACCCACGGGAGACTTTCTGTATTAAATGAATCTGAAAGATCGAGGTAGAATAATTCGCTAGATGGTCCACCATCAACATATCCACCCAGAAAGTACAGTCTATCACCAGCCAAAACGCTAGTATGTGCATATCTAGCTTTGGGTGTAAACGAGGCTGCCAATATGTTAAGAATTTGGAGGTTAAAGCAAAAAACGCACAAAAGGAATCGATGGATACGATGAGTAACGTAATGATAAAACATGCCGTAACAAAATCACGAATAAAAATATCATTTTGGCTAATAATAGGAGACATTTTATATAATTTTTGAGGGTTATTAAAAAAATCTTAGAAATATTAATGTCGTCATTAAAAGGATACGCCAAATTCTGTAGATCATTTTAACTGAATTGGTACGCCAAATATTCCGTACATACAAAACCCGTTTTACCTCGATATTACGCATGCGTTTACTTTGACTGCATAGTATTTTTCTTTCGCAACAAATTTATAACCGGCCGAATTAGGAAACTTTGTTTCACCAATGAAGTACTTACGATTTATTTTCGTATGAACTTGGAAATGTGATTCTGCCTATTAATAAAACTGCTATTTACGACATTTACAGTATACGAATTCTTGATCGTGTGAGAGAAAAATGTTTCGAGAAATCGCCTTGCTGTATCAATGTAATTGTCATTTCTAAATGTGCCTGGTATAAATCCATTTACGAGCATTTATGAATAGATATTAAAGAATGCTTGATGTTATCCAGCCTAACCTCATTCCGACTAAATGCTCGCATTTATCGACTAAATTTTAGTGTTACTTCAAAGAACGTGATTTGATGATCATGACTTCTAATATTAACTGTATTTACTTTACGTATCAAGTAACATCTCATAAATGGATATTCATTCTTAAATTATCTTTAATTATTCTCAAGCGAGTTTAATTATAGATCAGTCATTTAGGTTATTTTTGATCACTTTTTATCATTTGATTTTTACGA